AGTCACCTGTGACTCATAGCAATCTTATATCCTATAGATTAGGGAGGCGGTACAGAGAGACGGGCGCTCTAGTGGCCTAATGGTAAGAAACTGCATTGCAATCCCAAAGGCATGTGGTTCTAATCTACTGGTTGCTTAACTACTCCATGGGAGAAGGATAGGCAATCTCCTCCTGTGTGATTAACTGCGTCTGAAAACCCACCAGAGGGTCAGCTATGGGTTGGCTCCGATTCAATGACAAACAAAAAGAATTATATATCTATAAAATCATAAATAAGCATAGTAAGTTGCCTTTTTTAATCTAAAAAAGAAATTTAAACAATAAGAAAACCAGAGTAGGTCTATAATAAATGGTAATAATTGGTAAAGACATTTCAAAAAAACCCCAAAATCCAGCATATTTCTCTTCTCAAACCCTTGGAAAATGTTCCACATCTATGAAAAGTACCGAGTTTTTTGCTTATTTGCACTCTGTTCTTTTTCAGGCAAATGTCCACAGCCCTGTCGAAATGGTGGTAAATGCATTGGTAAAAGCAAGTGTAAGTGCTCCAAAGGTTACCAAGGAGACCTCTGTTCAAAGCGTAAGTAGCCTGTACACATAATCAATCTCGGTTACGGAATAATTAGATTCAAAAGTAGTCTCTCATTACATAACTTCTGTGCCTGCTACATGTTGCCTTGCACCATAGTCGCCTTCATTCGTAAGACACAAGTGCTGACTTCGTGTGAAATGTGTGTGAAGAAAACCTACACACCAAATTGAACTTTTTAACTTTTAGACATTTCCTTAAGGAAAAGAAATTTCTCTTGTCCACCTATTTGAAAATTCTTCTAGCATCTTTTGTGAATGTGAAGCACCGCAGCTGGTTTAAGATCAATTAGACCTTTCCCACAAAGGTCTGAATGTGACTGATAGCTGGAGATTAATTTAGGAAAAGAAAATCAGGGGGTGAAGCCAAAACTAACATATTCTAAAGAACCGCAGGATTAGCAGCTATGCAATTCTGGTGAAAATGGAGCTCACAAAACCATTCCTTCCCTTTCTTTGACTCTAGCTGTCTGTGAGCCTGGCTGCGGTACACACGGAACCTGTCAGGAGCCCAACAAATGCCAGTGTCAGGAAGGCTGGCATGGGAGATACTGTAATAAAAGTGAGTAGAAGCAGGTCTAAGGAGTCATCTTTTTCATGTACGCTTCCTTGACACCAAAGCTTAGTTCCCATCAGTTGTCATCCCTTCTGTTTCACCTAAGAGAGACCCCTTGTCAAAGTAGAATTGTGCTCAATTGCATTTTTAGTAACTGACTCTTCAAAAGTAGATCTCCAGGTCTTTTTTCCAAGATGGACTCAAATTTCCAACCTTTCCATTAGCGGCCAAGCTCATTAATTCTTTCAACTACCAGGGATTCCCAGAGGTTAATCCCAACCAAGCCTACAACTGTCAAGTCTATTCCAATTCACAGTGACCTTGCATTGGGTTTCCAAGGCTGTAAATATTTATGGAAGGAGGCTTGTCATCATCCTCCTGAGAAGTGACTGCTGGGTTAGAATCTTTGACCTTTTGGTTGATTACCCAAAATTACACACTAGGGCCCCCTAAAGATTGACACACGACCCATAATTCTGCCTGACCTTCCATTACATTAAAAATAACTTCTTTTCTTCTTCCTTTGTATCCCCAACTTTCAAAATGTGAAGAACCTAGGTTTAGAGTAAAAAGACCAATTTATCATTGCAAAATACTATCACCAATATTTTTTCAGGTTAAACTAGAAGCTCATATTTATTTGGTTATACAGAATATTAATAATTAAGAAAATAAGTAAAATTGAAATTTAAATTAAATGTAAAACCAGTATCTACTTGTCTCTGATTTTTATCATTCAAGATTTACACGCTAGCATAGAAAACATAAAGAACTTTGCTTTTTAAAGTCTTTATGTTGTATTTTGTGACTGTGTGGATCACAAGCTGTGGGTGACTCTGAGAAGAATGGGAATCCCAGAACATTTGATCGTGCTAATGCGAAACCACAGTTTGTTATGATCTACACAGTCAAATGCCTTTGCATAGTCAATGAAACACAGATAGACATTCCTCTGGTATCCCAAAGAAAGGTGACCCAACAGAATGTGGAAACTACAGAACAATCTCACTGATTTCACATGCAAGCAAGATTTTACTGAAGATTATCCAA